CCCCCCCCCGCGGTTGATCTTCTAGACAAACGATTTGACCAATTGGAAATTTTGACAAAAGCCACATTAAAATGGATACCACTGTGTGTATCATTATTGTATACGTGCATAAAAAATGCAACAGCTTTAAGATTAAGACGTGTTACCTGACCTACGCCCAATTATTCTTTCACGGCATTATTGAGACACCTTGAAACAGCTAAAACGTATGTGAGGGTACTTTTTGTGGATTTTTTCCTTAGCATTAATTTAATACGATTCAACCACATATTGTCGTTGAAGAACTTTTGAGTCTGAGGGTTAGTCATTATATCGCAGAATGGGTCCTTGAATTCTTGACAGGCAGACCATAGTATGTTAAGCTGAATAGCACAAAATCTGACACAATCCTTTGTAACACCGGCGGTCCTTAAGGGTGTGTTTTGTCACCGAGTGTGTACACAATATATACATGGTACCAACGATCATAGCAGTAAATATTTAACAACGCGCTTAATTAAGTTTGCAGATGACTCCGCCGCTATTATTGGATTAATTGATATTGAGGAAAAAGAGTATTTCGAAGAAATGTGTATGTTTTTTAAATGGTGCAATTCAAATTTTCTTAAAGTGAACCTCTCAAAAAACAAAGGAAAAGATTTTTTTACTATAGAAGAGAAAAACCACAATCCCACCACTCGTATTTGAACAAGAAACAATTGAAATCATCGATTCATACAAATATCTTGGCCTTACAATAGACAACAAATTTACATGGCAAAATCAAGTAAACAATATCGTTAAAAAGGTAAATCAGAGGCTGTACTTTCAGCGGAAACTTAAGTCTTTCAATCTGAATCCATTAATCCATCTATCCTTCAGATAATAATTCTACTCTAAATCTGACCACCAGCAGAGAGTAACCGGTAATCGGTTTGGGGTTTCTTGTTCTGACTTGGCCTGTCTTTAGATTTTGTTATCTGGCCCACTTTCGGAGAAAAAAAAAGTTTGGTGTCCCCTGATATAGATGACGGATAGCAGATACCATGGTAGGCTGTGTGATGTGATATAAAAACCAGCCTGTGAGGGCTTAAGATGTACTTACAATACACTCAGAAACACACTCATACACACACTCATACACACACTCATACACACACTCATACACACACTCATACACATTATATTCATAAAAATACACTCACGAGACAAGATAAGATGATACTTTTTATTTCCCAAATAGGTCTACTGCCAAATTGGTAGGGTGTTTCACCACACACACACACACACACACACACACACACACACACACACACACACACACACACACAAAGATGCACACACACATACACACACAACCACGCACAAAGACGCACGCATACGCATACGCACACACACAGACACACACACACACACAGACACACACACACACACACACACACGCACACACACATACACACACATACGACATACACCCACATACCCATACATACACATACGTACATCAACATAATACCTATATACACAGAGAGAAATCTAATGATTTGTATATTATATACATGTATATTATCATCATGATCGTCAAGTGCCAGATCTGCGACAGACACGATTATAATGGTTCTCCGGTCATTCATTTGCTCGGAAGCTCTGAAAAAAGCTACGAAATCCTGAACTTTCTTACATCGAACACATCTGTTCACGCTCACTCAGTAGGTTGCTCTGGGTCTACCCCAGCCTCGCTTGCCTTCAGTTTTGCCAGTGACAACTAGATTCAAGTGTCCCAGAAACTACAGCATGATTTGTCTTTTCCTGGTTGTTGTTGAGGAGTTTTTTTGTTTTTTGATCAGCGGATGGCCCAAGTGGGCTTCTTCAAGTCCTACCTGCTTTGATTTCTTTTCCGTACAATAAATTCTCAGCAGACCCATAAGAAAGACCAGTTTTGTTGTCGGGGATATTTTTATGGGAGGTTGGGGGGGTTCTAAACGTTTAGAGTTTATAGTTACAGCCATACTGTACACGCAAAGGCCATTCTGAAGGCAGATACCACAGGTAATGCTGAAACTCTATAGATCTATCTGAAATACCTGTCAGTTTGGTTTTTGGGGTTGTTGTTTTTTTATTCATCCATGTCGGAGTGGTGCCGAGATTTAGAGCTTTTGTTTGAGTATGTATGTGTGTGTGTATGTGTGTGTGTGTATGTGTGTGTGTGTGTGTGTA